ACGCAAGTCTTACAATCCTATTGCACAGAACAAGGAAGGTACCTCTGCCTGCAAGAGATTTTTATTAAAACTAAGTTTAAACTTTGCATTGCAAGGTATTGATTTTGTTCTTTGTTGCTTTAAGGCGCTGGGAAAAACTTTAGGATTCTAGTTTTAGATCCAGACCCCACAAGGTACTTGAGATGGCCAGTGTCTATTCACGGTTAGGAAACACTAAGGGTCATGCTATCAAGATAGGTAAGCTTCGAAGAATTTTAGGATGGCATTTGACAAGAAGCTTTTATTTTGACTCACAGACTTCCAAAAATTAGGCTCAAAATACAAAGAGGAAATAGTGGCTAATTTATTCAAGCGACCAGTAGTTTACAGAATTCCTAGTTGTCTGAGCTCCCCACCAATCCCTGATACTAGCTCCGAAATTTCATCTTAAGCTCAAAGCACCATAAATGCAGCTTACCCTGCCTTGGAGGTGGGGCGGCTGCTCCCTTTACAGTCGTGATCCAGAGGATGCCGATGTTTTATGCAGAAGTTGCCACGGCACTGTTCACAGACCAACTTCATCATCTCTTTCCTTTTGCAGCCTGGTTTTAAGCACTTGTTTGTGAAGATCTAAATAACAGAGGACATGAAGTTGGCAATGCTTGCTTGATTTTTGTGACCAGCTTCCCACTTAATGATCGAGCTGAAGCACGAATGTTCAAGCACCCTTAGAATTAAAGATGAAACAGACCAAGCTTCTACACATTCTGCTGTCAGAAGATCTAACATCACAAGCATTAGGCAGGCAGTTTACACTTCAACAGCAGTTTCCTTACCCTCTGCTTCTGCTGCGCTGGGTTGTATTTGCAGTCCTTATCCATGTGGGCTCCAACCACAATATCTGGTATTTCCCCCTTCTGTACTGGGATAGGTGCATTACAGAGTGGACACACTGGAACCTGCACATTCTAAGAACATACAACACAGATTGAAAGTCCAACTCAATTATTCTTCTGTCCCTCCCCTTCTCTTACCCATGGATGACAGAAGTGTATTCACAAGTGTTTTACATTCTACTCATTTACTGATGCTTTTAAAGATGCACTTCACAAAGGTAACTGCAAATCTTATCCCCAAAATAGTCAGACACACTTTGCCAAATCAATCTGTAGCAAGGTATTTGGCAAGTTGACTTTAAATATGCTTCTAGGCTTTCTGGAATTCTTTTCTTTGAATGCCTCAAAGCCCACGTACAGGCCAGAGATCAAACTTAAAGGTACAGGGCTGCAGAAAGTTTTAGGCCACAACACATTACTTAAAATATAAAGCACTCCTCTCTGGGAAAATGCAGTGTACATGAAAGAAACTAGAATCCAGCAGTACTGGCCTCTGAAGTTTTATGCTTCTATACATTTGAAATTCAGCTGTATCATTAACTTATATGCTGTGGTTCTCCCATCTGGTTTTACTAAAACCACAGGTCAAGCTTCAGAGCAGCCTTCATATATGACTTAGCAATTCTGCAGTGTGAATTACTGACTCATGTACAGGAACTTACTTTCTTGTAGGCAGAGTTACACTTGTGGTCATCGTAACGAATGTGATGTTTGCAGAAGACTTCCCCACACGCATCGCATTTCAGAGGAAGGAAGTCTGGGAGAAGAATAAAAAAAGAAAACAGATTCTCATGGAGCAGAGCTAACAGCTGTAAGAGTACTCATAAAAGGCTACAAACAAATTCTAAAGCAAGGGTTTTTTTTTTGTCCAGCCATAACCC